CACTCTCTTAAACTATGAGTCATATTGTCACCCAAACTCTCAGTTATATTCTAAATAAAACCGTAAGTCATAGAGGCTGTCAAATCGTCAGTCATATTCTAACTAAAAAGCTAATTCATAGTGTGTGTCAAACCGTCAGTCATATTGTCACTCAAACTGTCAGTCTTATTCTAACGAAAAAGCTAATTCATAGTGTGTGTCAAACCGAAGTCATATTGTCACTCAAATTGTCAGTCATACACTCACTCAAATCAACAGTCATATTGTCGCTCACACTCTCAGTTATATTCTAAATAAAACCTTAAGTCATAGAGGCTGTCAAACCGTCAGTCATATTGTCAGTCAAACTGTCAGTCTTATTCTAACTAAAAAGCTAATTCATAGTGTGTGTCAAACCGAAGTCATATTGTCACTCAAATTGTCAGTCATACACTCACTCAAATCAACAGTCATATTGTCACCCAAACTGTCAGTCTTATTCTCGCTAAAACCATCAGTCATACACTCTCTTAAACTATGAGTCATATTGTCACCCAAACTCTCAATCATATTCTAAATAAAACCGTAAGTCATAGAGGCTGTCAAACTATCAGTCATATTGTCATCCAAACTATCAGTCTTATTCTCACTAAAACCATCAGTCATACACTCTCTTAAACTATGAGTCATATTGTCACCCAAACTCTCAATCATACACTCACTCAAATCAACAGTCATATTGTCAGTCAAACCGTCAGTTATATTGTCAGTCAAACTGTCAGTCTTATTCTAACTAAAAAGCTAATTCATAGTGTGTGTCAAACCGAAGTCATATTGTCAGTCAAACTGTCAGTCTTATTCTAACTAAAAAGCTAATTCATAGTGTGTGTCAAACCGTCAGTCATATTGTCAGTCAAACTATCAGTCTTATTCTAACTAAAAAGCTAATTCATAGTGTGTGTCAAACAGTCAGTCATATTGTCAGTCAAACTATCAGTCTTATCCTAACTAAAAAGCTAATTCATAGTGTGTGTCAAACAGTCAGTCATATTGTCAGTCAAACTATCAGTCTTATCCTAACTAAAAAGCTAATTCATAGTGTGTGTCAAACCGTCAGTCATATTGTCAGTCAAACTGTCAGTCTTATCCTAACTAAAAAGCTAATTCATAGTGTGTGTCAAACCGTCAGTCATATTGTCAGTCAAACTGTCAGTCTTATTCTAACTAAAACCGTAAGTCATCGTGTGTGTCAAACTGTCAGTCATATTGTCAGTCAAACTGTTAGTTTTACTCTCAATAAAAAGCTAATTCATAGTGTCTGTCAAACCGAAGTCATATTGTCACCCAAACTGTCAGTCTTATTCTCACTAAAACCATCAGTCATACACTCTCTTAAGGGTGCCCTATAGACGATAGCTCCCCCTCAGAAAAAATAACCTTAAATAAAACCAATGCTTTTCGAGACCTATTTTGGTACCTCCAAAAACATTTTTCTCGGCAAAAGATCAAGTTGATGTATTTTGTTTTGTCATCGTAGATACTCTAATTTTCGCCCAGTAATGTTATATAAAAGGAGCTTTTTTGTCGAAATGCAAAACAAAATTGGCCGTTAATGTGGTGAATTATCGATTTTTGGTACAGCATACTTTCTTATCAATGAATAAATGCAGCTACTTGATAAAAGAGTCTTCAAAAGCAACTTTTGAAAAAAATATTCCTTATTTACATCAAGAGCCGAATACTTTTACGATGAATATTAATAAAATTTGTCGGTATTTATTCTTACAGATTATCAGATCACAAAAGCCAAAAATTGTTTATTATTTTTTTCAGAATAAAAATTTCGAATGTATCAATTATATCAAATACATACATTTTATTCATACATTACAAATGAAAGATTTAATTTTTGAAAAACCTAAATTTTTTCGAAAATCAAATATTTCGGTGTATTATATGCGCCTTTGTTTAAATTATTCGCCAATTCCTCATCACGAATGTAAGATATTTTGGTATTACAAAAGAGAATCCATGAATTGATGTTTTCGTCCAAAATAATAATATTATATTGTCGACTGTGATAAGTTATTATGGCTACTAGTTTGGATTTTACAGCTGGATTGTTATTCCATGTGTAATCATCCAATGGAAACGTAAAACCAGCAACATCAATAAAAAGATAATCTGAAAAAGTAGGAGTAACTTGAAGTTCGTTATTATTAACAAGAGGAATGTCAATTTTATCTGTAAATCCCCAGCAGAATTTTTTGAAATAATCAATAAGATCTAGTTGCCTAGCTTCACATGCAAGCGATTCTTGTAATTGTTTGAAAGCATCAATTGGATCAGCTTGATGTATCTTTTGCCGTTTCGAGTACAGGTGATACAGATAAGTAACATCTGCATTTTCCGAAAAGTTCCGATTTGTGAGCGATAATATTTCTTTGTATATTAACTGTTGCTCATTGGGATTAGAGAATAATTCGTCAAATAGTTTGTGCATTAATGGTCGAAATGTAATAAGTTGAACAATAACGGCAAGAAAACTGAGATTTTTTCCAAGCTTGATACCAAGCTTTTGTTTTTTAGGCTTATCATGAGTTTTTCTGAGTGTCTGTGGAAGTTGTATCAAATCAGGATGAAAATCTGCTATCATTTCAAGAGATGGTGGATTGTGGCTGAGGACGTTAAGATAATTGATTGCGTTTATCTTAATTTTCTCAAAGTTATGAAAATCAGTAAAAGCTGAATTCATAATTTCTTTTGCTTGCTGAGAATCGTAAACTGCAACAGCCGAGATGTTTTCTTCATTAATACGAATTAAAGACGAGTACGTATTATAAAGATCTTGTTTAAATTTGGATAATAAATTTTGGAATTCTTGAGGATCATCTGGAATTTCCTTCGCCTTGAAGAAAAATGAAAACCTTTTCCAATCTGGTGGTACTTTGATATCGGAACCAAATATAGATTTTTTGTTGAATTTTGGATAATCTGTTGGAAGTGAAAGATTTTCAGATTCTGACGGTTCTTCATCCGCTGGCGGATCCTCATCGTCAGTGTATTCAATTTTTTCGGATCTGGATCCATCTTTTGACGGTTTATGAGGAACTAAGTCAGCGAATTCTGGGTCAATTTCATCTGGAATGTAATGAACGCATCTGTTATGATTTCTGTAGTTTTCCGAAGTTCTTCTGATATGGTCATAATCGGATTTATTTTCGAAATTTAATATAACTTGTAAAATATCTTCATCAAAATAAGAATCATCTATACCCATTAATCTTCTTAGTTTTGTCTTCCAATTGTCTTCATTATACGCAAATACAGAAACAAAAATTCTGGCTGGAAATCCAATAATCCAACGAAGATTTTTTGGGACTAAATGGGCTTTCAATGAATTGAAAGCTTCGTTGAAATTTGTATGATATTGTTTGCTGATTCTTAGAAACAATGGAGCAATATTTGTAATAATTTCTCTTTTTTCGATATGCTCTGGTGATTCTCCTGGATATCTATTAATTAATCCCATCCATCTCTGAACCTTTTGCTCTGGTTTTAATGTTGGGCATGCAAAAAGGATCCTAAATATTTTTTCAAATTTAGGATATTTAGTGACAATTTTTGAAAATGCTGATTTTATCACATGATTTGGATCTCTTACATGTGATAATTGTGCACCAGAATTCTCTATCATTGTTGAATCTTTAACATCACCATCTGAACAAAAAACTTTTATTTTTTTCCATAAATCAGATTTCAACATATCACGTAATGCATAGCTTTCCATTAATCCTGGTGAAATTTTTGGTTCAACCAAAATTTTGGGACTTTTGAATTTTATTAATTCTGGATGCCTTGAAACTATTCTAAAATCTAATATTTTGTTTGTATTTATATCTATAAGCGTAATGACGGCATGTAAAGCATCGCGCTTAGAACTCCATGCGCAATCTAATGAAACATTAAATTTGTATTCTGAATCATGTTTAAGAATTTCTTGTATATTAGCTTCACAACTTGCTGTTGCAACTTTCTCAAGATCTGGCAATATGCTCTTTAGATGCGCAAGTAATGTAGTTTCTGTTGGGCAATGAAAGTTTAGGAGTGATGCCAATTCGATGTGTTTTGAAAATCCTGCACCAGATATAAGAGAAATGTAAGTATGAAGATTCTTGACAACGTCACTATACGGAACTCCAGGCTTAAATTTGACGTTGAATATTGTTTCTTCCTTAACATTTGATTGTGAATGATCTTGTTTTGAATTAAGCTGGTTTAGATTAATGAAAATGCGAAAAAGGTTTCTTATTTGAATAAACAGTTCGATGATAGACCCTTTTTTGGCAGTCATCAGCTTTATATGTTATTAATATCTCTTCAATTGTGTATCCTTCCATGATTGGAATAGAATACTCCATAGGAAGAGCTAAAATCCCGCCAAATTTTACGGTTTTTTTAATACAAAAGTAATCAAAGTGAATAAAGCAAAGATATATATTGTATTTAATCAGTCAATTGATATTGGGTAGAATATAAAAAAAAAAAAAAGGGAGTGGGGCCTCCAGGCACTTCGTGCCCTCTAGCCCCGAAGATGTTTAGTATAATTGAAGTATAAAATGAGTTTTTTTTTGGGTATAGTGGGGCTTTCCAGGGGCTGCGCCCCTTCTAGCCCTAAAAATTTTTGAGAGTCGTCGTCGTTGACTTTTTTTGTAGAGCGCTCAAAATAGTACAACTTTGTCCGGACAAGTAAGGGTCTATCGTCGCTACAGGAAAAGTTACGGGCGTTCCAAGGAAGTATACTTTGAGAGACTCTTTAGAAACTTTAGACGTTTTACATAACCATCCATGTTTTTACTTTACATCCGATAAAAGTGGTTTGGAAACCGTTATGAGATGGTTAGAGGACATACATGACTATGAGTTTAGATATGACAAGATAGAATATGAGAGAGGTCCTATAAACCGGAGAAAGTGTCATATAAACATCTGTCAAAAGCCGCTTTTTAACTTCACTTAAAATGCCACGTAAGCTACGTAAGAATATACGTAAGAGGAAGAGAGCATTGAAACATCCAATAGTAAAACTGACACCACAACAACAGTTGCAACAACAAATGCTGAATGACCCCACCATGTTGCAACAAATGTCAAGCAACCCTATGCTCTTAAACCGAGTTTTTGGTGCACAGAGTGGAGGTTTAAGAGCGGCACTTTTAGCGAAAATGGCAGGCTATGGTGGAGCTGCAGACGGAACAGCATATAACCCTCAAAGTCAAATGAATTTGAGTTCACTCAAAAATCAAATATCAGATGTCAAAAAGTCAAACATAGACATACAGAAGCAAATAAGTGAAAACGAAAAGAAACTAGAATACGACAGACACACAAAGAAACTCAATGAGTTAAACGTAGAGAAAAAGAAGAAAGAAGAACAACTGAAAGAACTAAGTACAGAGCAATATGCAAAAAAAGTGTCAGAAAAAGCAGCAGAAGTAGCAAAAATGGAACAAGATGTCATAAATTTGAAAAACCATACTATTCAATATAAAGTACTGAAAGATGAAGAAATAAAACAAAAAGCCCTGAAGACATATATGGATAGCGATGAGTATAAAAAAGAAGTTGAAGCAAATGTAAAGGCAGAAAAACTTTTACAGTTGCAAAACCAAACCATACAGTATGAAAACTTAGCACAAGAAAGTAAAAATGACGACGCGGCTATGCAAAAGGCAATGAAAAGCGCAGAATATATAAAAGCTAACAATGACTGGTTAGATGCCCAAGCCAACGCTAAAGCAGCCCAGCTTATAGGGTCAATAAGGACAAAAATACAAGCGGATGAAGACAGTTCAAATGAAGCTTTAATGAATGCTGACTTTAAGAACGCCTTCGAAGCTCTTCATAGTAAGGTGAAACTAGTGAACGACTTCTCATCTGGAAAGAAACTGAAGTCTGAAGGTTTCGACAACGAGTTAAGAGAAGTAGCACAAAATATGACGAAAATAACAGATGCAGCAACGAGACAGGCAGTTCAAAGTGCCTATGACGCCGTTAGAGCAACTGTTGTGGAAAGTCAAGAAAAAGAGTTACAACAGACCAAAACAGACCTAGTAAATGCTTTCTTAAAAACGAAAGGTCAGGTAGGACATTACGCTGCAGATGGAACTTATATACCACCAAACCCTCCAAGAGAAGCACCTGCACCAGGACTACCTAAAACATTTACGATGAAGTCTCAACAAAACATTGACGATGAAGTTCATGACAAAGTCTTTACAAAACATTGACGATGAAGTTCATGACAAAGTCTCAACAAAACATTGACGAAGAAGTTCATGACAAAGTCTCAACAAAACATTGACGAAGAAGTTCATGACAAAGTCTTTACAAAACATTTACGAAGAAGAACTTTACAAAACATTGACGATGAAGTTCATGACAAAGTCTTTACAAAACATTGACGATGAAGTTCATGACAAAGTCTTTACAAAACATTGACGATGAAGAAGTTCATGACAAAGTCTTTACAAAACATTGACGATGAAGAAGTTCATGACAAAGTCTTTACAAAACATTTACGAAGAAGAACTTTACAAAACATTGACGATGAAGTTCATGAGAAATTAGATGAAGTCTCAACAAAACATTGACGAAGAAGTCTTTACAAAACATTGACGATGAAGTCTCAACAAAACATTGACGAAGAAGTTCATGACAAAGTCTCAACAAAACATTTACGATGAAGTCTCAACAAAACATTTACGAAGAAGAACTTTACAAAACATTGACGATGAAGTTCATGACAAAGTCTTTACAAAACATTGACGATGAAGTTCATGACAAAGTCTTTACAAAACATTGACGATGAAGTTCATGACAAAGTCTTTACAAAACATTGACGATGAAGTCTTTACAAAACATTGACGATGAAGTTCATGACAAAGTCTCAACAAAACATTGACGAAGAAGTTCATGACAAAGTCTTTACAAAACATTTACGAAGAAGAACTTTACAAAACATTGACGAAGAAGTTCATGACAAAGTCTTTACAAAACATTGACGAAGAAGTCTCAACAAAACATTTACGAAGAAGAACTTTACAAAACATTGACGATGAAGTTCATGACAAAGTCTTTACAAAACATTGACGATGAAGTTCATGACAAAGTCTTTACAAAACATTGACGATGAAGAAGTTCATGACAAAGTCTTTACAAAACATTGACGATGAAGTCTTTACAAAACATTGACGATGAAGTTCATGACAAAGTCTCAACAAAACATTGACGAAGAAGTTCATGACAAAGTCTTTACAAAACATTTACGAAGAAGAACTTTACAAAACATTGACGAAGAAGTTCATGACAAAGTCTTTACAAAACATTGACGAAGAAGTCTCAACAAAACATTGACGATGAAGAACTTGACAAAGTCTCAACAAAACATTTACGAAGAAGTTCATGAGAAATTAGATGAAGAAGTTCATGACAAAGTCTTTACAAAACATTTACGAAGAAGTTCATGAGAAAGTCTTTACAAAACATTGACGAAGAAGTTCATGAGAAATTAGATGAAGAAGTTCATGACAAAGTCTTTACAAAACATTGACGAAGAAGTTCATGAGAAATTAGATGAAGAACTTTACAAAACATTTACGAAGAAGAACTTTACAAAACATTGACGATGAAGTTCATGAGAAATTAGATGAAGAACTTTACAAAACATTGACGATGAAGAACTTGACAAAACATTGACGAAGAAGTTCATGACAAAGTCTTTACAAAACATTGACGATGAAGAACTTGACAAAACATTGACGATGAAGTTCATGAGAAATTAGAAGAAGTCTCAACAAAACATTGACGAAGAAGTTCATGAGAAATTAGAAGAAGTCTCAACAAAACATTGACGAAGAAGTTCATGACAAAGTCTTTACAAAACATTGACGAAGAAGAACTTTACAAAACATTGACGAAGAAGTTCATGACAAAGTCTTTACAAAACATTGACGAAGAAGTTCATGAGAAATTAGATGAAGAAGTTCATGACAAAGTCTTTACAAAACATTTACGAAGAAGTTCATGAGAAAGTCTTTACAAAACATTGACGAAGAAGTTCATGAGAAATTAGATGAAGAACTTTACAAAACATTTACGAAGAAGTTCATGAGAAATTAGATGAAGAACTTTACAAAACATTGACGATGAAGTCTCAACAAAACATTGACGATGAAGTCTCAACAAAACATTTACGATGAACTAACTTCATCTAGTGAAAGTAGTGGCAATGAAGGAAAAAGAAGAGTTAAAGATTCAGTCAGGAAGAAAGTAAAGCTTGGTCCGAGTGGGTTCTATTATGACACATAAATCCAACTATTCTATATTTTTACCCATATGAAATGTACGCCGCTCAGAATATAACGCCAACAGTTTTGGATGCCATGAATGGAAATGTTTCCGAATGGTATAACGAATGCGACAATGCCATTAGAAGGTCAGAAATAGTTCCTGGAACTTACGAATATACAACTGCTGTTTCTTATGGAAACGTAGGTGAGTTTGGAGAAGGTTCTTCAACAACAGTAGATATTGCTTGCGACAGGTTTCATATTATTTCTATTGACAACTCATTCTTATACGTGGAACAAGACATTGAAATAAAACCTTCTGCCAAGTTGTCTGACAAGAAAGGTTGCAATGGAATTTTCTATGTCGGATACCAATATGCTCCAGAAGTTTTTATGGGATATAAGATATATTCTAACTCTGACTTAGTTCAAACAGTAACATGGGCAAACTATGAATGGTTCGCTTTGAGAAACTCAGTACAACCACAAGCTAGAGAACAAACAGACCAGTATGCAAATATTGAGAAAATAAGAAGACTTGACCCTAACGTTCCAGGAGTTTCTGTTGACCTTTCTGGTTCAGATGGAACTGCTACCACTAAAGTAAAACTGAAACTTAGAGTTCCTTTGTCATCTTTCCTCATCTTCAGGTTTTTAAGATACTTGCCAAACTGGGCAGGAAAAATTTCTATCGAACTTACTCCAAGCAAAAATAACTTAGTCATTGCACCAACACAAGACCCATTCACTATTACAGACGTAAAGGGAACAAATAAAACGTCATTCGCCGAATTTTGCAAAGACAAAGTTGACTTAGACTTTGGTTTCTCAAACCTCAACACTGAAGTAAACTATTATTTCAATGCTGCTGGAGATGCTTGGGACCCAGTTAAGTTCACATGCGAAAAATTTGAATGCAAGAGAATAGAAAGCAGACTTGCCGTTTATATGTTGGACCCAGATATTTCAAATGCTTTAGCTGCCAAATATATTGCAGTTCCACTTATGTTCCCTATACACCAAATATCTGTCAAAGACTTTGCAGGTGAAGTTGGAAACCAAAGTGCTGACCCAGGTGCAAGAACAGATATTGCTTTAACAACTGCAATGAAACATGCAGATACTATGTTTGTACTGTTCAGACGAACTATAAATGACTATTCTTGTTTCTACAACCCTGGTATTAAATATCATATAAACATAGATGGCAAATATTATCCAAGAGAAGAATATTCTACAGTTGAGGATATGAGGTCATACAACTTGACATTAGATGCTATGAACTTTAACAACAACTTCACAACAACCATTAACCCTGAAATGCAAAGTTCTATTATGCCATATGTGAAAGTATGGACTCATACAGGAGGTCAAAAAACTCAATATACAAATGGAGACCGTTCAAACTTTTGGCTTGGCATTCCATTTGCTGACTCAGAAGACTTTATGGGTGGTATTTCAACTGTTGGTACAGTTCAAATACAATATACTGGTGACAGAGACGGTCCAGATGAACTGAGAGCAAAGAAGTTTACAAAACCAATAGCACTTTTCACGGAAGATGCTCTTTTGAAGATTCGTTCGATGAAACCTGCTGGAGCTCCTCAGATTGGCATAACGACAGCTTCCATCGAGCAGATTTTGGCAGCAGGTCAGTAAGTTGTTCTTGAACTGACTTCTCTCCGTCAAATATTGACAGTACGCCAGTTTTGACATAAAATTGTAAGATAAACTTACCTTTAGAAATATCTGTAAGTTTTGTTGTTATATTTTTGTCAACGTCAAGAACTTTCACCATTTCAGTTATACCAACTTTCTTTGCTTTATGAAAATATTTTGGTTCAGCAAAGACTGCTATTCTATAACATTTTCCATTGTTTGTGTAAAGAACTACTCTGTCAATGTATTTGTACTGTTTGTGTGTGTAAACTTTGTTTTGCTTCAATTCGAAGAGATACTCGAATACGTCCATCTTTTTATTCTAAGTAAAATGTCATTTCCGAAAAATAGAAGCGTAAGTGTTTCAAAAGGTTTAATGGCGGTGGCAGATGTGAAGTTAAATTCACCAACTCAAACAAACAGTCAAAGTGTTGTTGTCAATGTCAAAGAAAGAGATGTTGAAGTGGGGAAACCATACGAAGACCAAGATGGTATAACAATAGTTCCTGTAAAAGAACAACCAACATATCCTGAAGTTAGCAGAGACTTAAGTTCTGTTGCAGATATTCGAAATGACTACCAACAACTTAAAGACAAACTTAAAACTCAGGAGAAGATCTGTCAAGCTTTAGGTATAATGTTAAACTTGGTCGAACACAACCCTGTAAAAGTGAACTCATATGTCATTGCACCTCATGAAGTTTTGAAAGAACTATTGAAACTTTTGACAGAGGCAGACGATATAAACATCAAAGAAATAGAACCCGACATTGCTTGCTGTGGTGTTTCATATAATGTCATTGACAAGATATACGTTATGAAAGGAGGTGAGACGTTGAACTTAAAATATAGTTTCCCAGACGTTATAAAAATATTTGACGACCACAACATTTCATTAAAATTTAGTTGCTAAGTAAATGGCAGAAGACATAGTGGTTTATACTATTACGACTAAAAACCCTGAGTCATATAATTCTATAACAACAAACTTACAAAGTCCTCAAGGACGATATTGTAAACTAACCTTAAACACAATGACGACTAAAGCCTGTTTTGCTCTTTTGACACCAGAAGACTTTGTTGTTGTGAATGGTAAAAAATACTTCTTTGAAGATACTTACTCAGATATACCACCAACAGGTTTTGTTGACTTATTTAATACTTTAAGGACGGATGTAACATGTGCTGCAACTAGAGCAGGTTTCATTATGTTTGGATGTCCGACTGAGTTTAGTATAAACGATATGAGCTATAATACAAAACTTATATCTGGTTTTTAC